CCAGCGCCACTAAATTCCTCATCCAGGAGCCAGAGTAACTGCTTAAAACAGAAGCAGCAGCTGCTCTAAACCCTCCACCAACTTCCCAAGTCACTTGGAATAAAATCCACAGTCCTGGCCATGGCCCACAGAGCCCTCGAAATCTACTTTCCCCATCCCCTCACTCATCTCTGCCACGCTGGCCTTGCTTCTCCTGCTTCATACCAAGCATTTTCCAGCCATTGACCTTTGCTATGTCCTCTGCCTGGGACGTGCTTGTCTCAGTTACCTGCATGGTTAACTTCAGAACTTCTCTTAGCCCCACAGGTTTCCATTATTAGAGTCCTGCCCCTGTCACCCTGCCTGACTAGCACTCCTACCCACCGTCCCTACATCCTCATGCCCTGCTTTTTTTTCCTTAACACACATTGCTGCTGACAAATTATGTGCTTCTTATGTGTCATTTGTCTTACCCACTTCTGTACTAAAATAGAAACTCCATCAGGGTAAGAATTTTTGTTTCTTCAGCTTATCATTTTATCCCTGACTAGGAGAGTGCTTGACACATTGGAGGCAATCAGTAAGTGCTTGATGAGTGACTGGAAAGAATGGCCACTTGGTCCCCTCTCTGGATGACTTCTTCACTGCCACCTGCCCTCTCTTCCACTATTGCCCTATGTTGCTGCAGGGAAGTCAGGACCTGGGAGGAGTAGATAGTTATGCCTTGGAGCAGTTGCAGGGTGGAACGTATGTATTTAAGGGCTACTTTTCTAAATCTGAAAAAAAAAAAAAAAGACTTACAAACTACACAAATACTGAAAATACATCCTTTCCCTATCTGCTTCTCCCTTGACCCCTTATATAAAGTGCATTCAAAGCATAAATTATAAATGATTAGGTCAAGGTAAAGCAAGGCCTCAAATATATAAATGAATTGTAAAATACCAGAATTCTTAACTGCCAGGGGAACTGTATTGGGACTTGTAGAAATAAAAATAGATACATGTGTTATTATATAAATCCTTGCATAATAAAAACCATGTGTACTAATTTTTAGAATGCTTGGGCATCCTTACTAATCAAGAATTGCTCTTTTTTGATGGGAGAGGAAGTGATAGGGAAGAATACAAAAAAAAAAAAGTCTAAATTGGGTTTATTCAACAGGTTAACATACAGCATCTCTTCCAGGGCTGGGTCAGTTCAGACAAGTGCATCTACTGCTCTTTTTGGCTGAGTTGAGATGTAAGAAGAATACAGACTCAACCAAAATCCTGCAATAATAAAGACAGGCTAGATTCTGCTCATTATTCACTACTCTAGCAGAGTTTAGAAAGATTATCATCAATAAAGATTAAGCGATTAAGTATAAATTACCCCTTTCCATGGGCATTCAAGTTAATCAAAGCCTTAGTATAATATTTTCAAGTTGGCTACCATCTGCCACCACCTCTGATGCTAAGATTCGAAGAAGACATTAAGAGCAGATGCTAGAATTGGAGCATTCTGAAGCCAAGAGGGATCCTCACACCTCATTTTGCAAAGAAGCATGTGAGACTCAGGTTGGAAAGGTCAAATTCAAAAGGTTTTTTTCTCTAAACGTCCATGAGAAGGGACCTTGATGATGTGTCCTGGCTTTGGGGAGGGACAAGAGCCCTGGATCTGGAAGAGGATGCCCTAGGTTTGGAGTGCTCCCTTTATCACTCATTAATGGTGTGGCATGGGGGAAGCCCTCTGCTAGACAGATCCCCTATTTCCCAATTTATAGAACGAGGCTAACGAAGATACAAGGCTGCTGCAAGAACTAAGTGAGAATACACTCGTTAAAAAATCAAAATTTAGTCTCTGCCTAACCCACATTAGCATAGGATCCTGGACTATTTGCATGTGTTACCTTTTTTTAGTTGGCCGAGTCGGTGGAATGAGCCTTACTTTACAGATGAGGTAACATAGGCTCAGGGGCTTAAAAAACTGTGAAGGTCATACAGCCAGCAGCTGATGTTGCAGTCAGGACTCAGGTCAATGGAACAACAAAAGCCTTTCCCTCGTTCCCAGACACTAGTGCAGCACATGACAGATGCTCCAGAAATAGGAGGAAATGTGTGAACGAACAAACAAATAAATAAATAAGCAAGCTCTCAATGTCAGTCTCCCCAGAAAGCTTTGTAAAACTCTTTTTTTTTTTTTTTTTTTTTTTGAGACGGAGTTTCGCTCTTGTTGCCCAGGCTGGAGTGCAATGGCGCGATCTCGGCTCACCGCAACCTCCACCTCCTGGGTTCAGGCAATTCTCCTGCCCCAGCCTCCTGAGTCTCTGGGATTACAGGCATGCGCCACCATGCCCAGCTGATTTTTTGTATTTTTAGTACAGATAGGGTTTCACCATGTTGACCAGGATGGTCTCGATCTCTTGACCTCGTGATCCACCCGCCTCGGCCTCCCAAAGTGCTGGGATTACAGGCGCGAGCCACCGCGCCCGGCCTGTAAAACTCTTAAAAGCAATGTGGATCAAATAAACCATTCCCAAAGTCCTATGTAAGACATAAAGAAGTAAGTAAAGTTACTGATATTTAAAGGTTGAAACTTATTCAGAAAACGTGTTGAACCCATCTAAACGCTGTCTGCTAAACATTCATTCATTAGCACAATAGTTTAAAAAAAACAAGGTTGGGTTTTTATGAGATGTGTATACAGTAGGGGTTTTTAAATAATTCATATGGACAGTATATTTATCCCTGTTTTATGGGGTTTGAAATTATTACAGAAGAGGTGTATTGTATTATTATTATTATTATTGATAAGGTCTCACTCTGTTGTTCAGGCTGGTCTTGAACTCCTGGACCCTGGGCTCAAGGGATCCTTCAATTTCAGCCTCCCAAGTAGCTGGGATTACAGGGCTGTGTTGCTGCATCCTGCTTTTGTTTTATATGATCCCATGGTTTCCAAGCTAGCTCCATTGTTTTCACTGAGAGACAGCTAGTGAAGAAAAGGAGAAGAATGTAGGATTTTTTGATATAAAGTATCTCCAAGTGGTAGGATTTTTTTTTTTAAAGACAACTGGATATGGTGGCTCATGCCTGTAATCCCAGCACTTTGGGAGGCTGAGGTGGGAAGATCACTTGAGGTCAGGAGTTCAAGACCAGTCTGGGCAACATATCAAGACCCCATACCTACAAAAAGTAAAAAAATTAGCCAGGCATGGTACATACACCATTAGTACCAACAACTTGAGAGGCTGAGACGGGAGGATCACCTGAGCCCTGGAGGTCGAGGCTGTAGTAGGCTGTGATTGTGCCACTGCACTCCAGCCTTGGTGACAAAGGGAGACCCTGTCTCAAAAAAAAAAAAAGAAAAAGAAAAAGAAAACGACAACATCAAAGGAAATCAGAGAGTTACATTATGGGATTAGGTTTCTAAGTCGATGCTTGAGTGAAAATTGCCCTTGAAAATCCACGGGCACAGCGAAGGGCCCACGTTCTTAGGAGGTACACGGGAACTAAGACAAACCAAAGAGCAGCAAATTTGAGTCTTCTGCTTTGCATTGCAGCTGGCGTTTATGTTCGTTGAGTAATCTGAGAGACACTGACATGGTTTACTACATCTTTGTTGCTTTCTTTGCCCCACACTGGTATGGCCGTAACCCCATGAAGGTGTGGTGTGCGTGACTGCATCCTCCCATCCCTGCAGTCCTGCATCTGAAGGTGGCCTGGCACACAGAAGCAGTTTCAAACTATATTCCTCAGCCGAGGGTCCCAAGGAAGGTGAACAGCTATGGATTTGTCACCCACTGCCCCCCCTTCCTCCCACGTGTTTATCTCAAGCAAGGGCTCAGTACTCTGGGTTCTTGATAAGATGGGTTTGAAAGCCGTGCAGTTGCTTAAAACATTTTTTTTTTTTTTTTTTTTTTTTTTTTTTTTTTGAAAGTTTGAAAACCCGTGAGGTAAACCAAAACCTCTGGGACTCACTGCTACCTCTTCCCCGATGATCGGTGTGGCTTGGGAAATGTCACTTAATCTTTCTGGTTTCCGTCTCTTCGTTTATGAGGTGCAGGATTTGAGCTAGATACTCTCAGTGTAAGATACCTCTGCTAAGAACCAGCTATGGGGGAGAACTTTCTGGAAACACCCCTGGCAGCATTACTGGAGTTTCACCAGTACTGAATTAGAATAACAGCATGTACACCTCTCAACATTCCCTGAGTGCAATTGAGATAATGAGCAAATAGACGGAGGAGCCATTTTCTGTTCAGCATCTTCGTTACTGAATAAAATGAGTAATGATCTTTTGCCAAAAGGCAGTCTCTGCTCCAGGGGATTCTCTTTTCTGGAATGAGGTTACTTATTTGCTCAAGATAGTTTTTACCTTGACAAAAAATAAATAAAATTTTCTTAACAGTTGACTAACATTTCCTCAACATTGTATGTTTAGTTTTTTTTTTTTTAATAGAAACATTCTTTTTTTAAAAATTACCTTTCATCTGTCTCTTGTAGGTGATTTGAAAGATGCTGAACTTTATGATGCAGAGTTTTCAAGAGTTAAATCTGCTGAGCCCAAGGAAGAGCATTTTTGTGTTGCATGTTAGAATACTTGCTATTTGACATTCTAATTAAAACATCTGCAGCTACTTTCAGAACAGCTGATAGAGATGTTGACCTTGGTAGCCAGCATCAGATTATATGGTTTATGGATGAGCAGTCCTCACATGCCCCTGTTTTCTTTTTATGTCTTTTGAAATGCGCTTCTGTCCTCATCAGTCGCCGCCACGCCACCTGGCCCCCCTCCCACGGAGGCTTCTGGAGGCTTCCATTCAAGGGCCTTCCCCTCACCCTTGTCCAACCCGAGCAAGTCAGAGCTGACTGTATCAGGAGTGCCCTCTTGAGGACAGACTTGCTGAGGGAAACTAAAGAAGTTTTTTCTTCAGTTCAGCACTGCACACTGTGTTACATCTCAGTGCAGAGGAGAAAGAATGGATTTCATGAGACACAAAAGTTGATTCATTTTTGTTTTCTGGCCTTTGTTTCCATCAGGTCAGCCACCATCCGCCTATCTCTGCGTGTCACGCTGAGTCTGGAAATTTTGTTTTCTGGCAAGGTAATGTGCTAATATATTTGACTTCCATGATATTATGTAATATGTTACTGATTTATTTTATTCAAGAATTGCTATCAGTTCTTACCAAGATCAAAAGTGGTCCCTGGATTTGGGTCTGGTTAGAAGGATCAGCGCCACTTGCTCTTGTTTCTCATCTCTCACTTAGTTTTTCCTTTTTAAAACATCCTCAGTCTTTGTGCCATCTCCGTTTAATTCTGTAACTTTATCTTATTTAAAAATCATTTGAAATGCCTCTTGCCTTAGTCAAGAGACACTAAATATTTACAGTTGTTTATCAGAGTGTAGACAGCAGAGAGATTTTCTGCTTTTGTGAAACTTAAATTTTATTTTTGAAGTTGTATTTTACATTGCTTACTTCTTTTCATTATTGAGGTGATTGTTCCTAAAATTTTGTTCCATTTATATTTTGAGTTGGGGGTGGGTGGGTAAATGTTCTAAAGAATAAATAAGGCTGTAGATATTTCCTAAATGGATTAATTTTGTTAATATCTCCATAGAAGGAAAATATAAGCATCCTAGGTTTTTAGAGCACATATTCATTTTAAAAATATTTTTCTCTGCTACCAGTGATATCACATGTTGCCTTTACACACACACACACACACACACACACACACACACACACACACGCAGTCTATAAAACTTTAAAAGTATGTCCGGGCGCAGTGGTGGCTCACACCTGTAATCCCAGCACTTTGGGAAGTCGAGGCGAGCCAGATCATGAGGTCAGGATATCAAGACTATCCTGGCCATGGTGAAACCGCGTCTCTACTAAAATACAAAAAGTCAGCCAGGCACGGTGGCGTGCGCCTGTAATCCCAGCTACTCAGGAGGTTGAGGTAGGGGAATCGCTTGAATCCGGGTGACGGAGGTTGCAGTGACCTGAAATCATGCCACTGTGCTCTAGCCTGGCAAAAGAGCAAAACTCTGTCTCAAAAAAAAAAAAACTTTGAAAGTACAAAACAGTATACTGTCACCCCCTTTCCCAGCCACCCAGTTTCTCTCTCTGGAGGCAGTCAGTATTTCCAGTTTAAAGTGACAAGTACCATGGTTTTCTTTCTTCACCTTTGCTATTAAAATTTAAAATTAAAACTGCTCTCTCACTAAAACCTTCTGTAAATATTCTCATACGGGTCCTAGCCTCCTAATTGCTAAATCTAACTCATGCTGTAAGCACCTCTTCTTTGTTCCTTCAAAGTTGGATTCTTTTAACAAGTGGGGTCTTCTCGAAGAAGGTCTGTGTGCTCCCTATGTTACGTGCTCCCCTTCTCAGCCTTTCCTGAGCATCCTTCTCCTAGGCCATCCTTCCCCAAAAGCCTTTTCCCGAGCAATCCAGCTATTTCCATGGGCCTAGGAATACCACATCTTGCTTTGTAAGCCAGCCTGACATTTCTCTGCCTTTTATGTAGGTCATGTAAACCAGTTTCGTTTGCTGTGATTGTAGGTGTAGTCGGACTTAAACCTGCCCTCTTGATACTTCTTTTCCGTTTGTCACATCTGTCCTTTGTTCTCCTTTTCCCCTTTCTCTCCCTTTTGGATTGAATAATTTCTGTCCTTCTCTTTCATCTCCTCTGTTAGCTTTTAGCTATACTTACCTGTTTTGTTTCTTGTTAAAGTTGTTACTTTAGGATTTATGTTATATATTTGTAATATCATCAAATACTATTATGCTAGTTTCACATATAGTGAGATTTACAGACGTATACTTCCATTTTTCCCTCCCAACCTCTCTACTATTTTTGACATGTGTCTTATGTATATCATAAACCATGTAGTACATTGTTACTACTTTTGCTTTAAACAGCCAGCTATCTTTTTTTTCTCTTGGTAACAATTTTATGAACATATAACTTACATACCATATCATTCACCCAGGTAAAGTGTACAATTCAATGGTTTTTATTATATTCACAGAAGTGTGAATTTAATAAACTTTGCAGTTATCAGCACAGTTAATTTTAGAACATCTTCATCACTCCAAAAAGAATCCTCTTTAGCAAATATTACCCTCCCCATCTGCCACCTGCCCCATTTCTCTCAACAGTTCCTAGCCTATACATTTGCCTATTTGGGCATTTTATATAAATAGGATTATACAATATGAGGCCTACCATGCTTGCTGGTCCCAGCCCCACCTGTCTCACCTGGACCCCAGCTAGGGCTCCCCACTGTCCCCGCTGCTCCCACCCTTACTTCCCTGTGGTCTGTATATCCTCAGTGCAGCTGCCAGATGGGACCCTCTCACTGTTCTTTTCTTATTCCCTGGCTTCTCTGTTGGTACCACCATTCATGCAAGTTAGAGAAACTGACATTGTTTATAAATTCTCCCTTTTTCAATCTGTATCTAATTTGTCACGTGTTCTGCCTATTTCTACTTCCTTGGTATTTCAGGGCTCACTGACTTCCCCATGTCTGTTGTCATGGTTCCCTTCATCCCTGTTTGTTATCCTCTGGGCAATTGCAGTAGCCTCTTGTCACCTTGCTTCTCTTCTCTTCTACTCCTGTTCCATTCTCCATATGGCTTCCAATTGCCTTTGCAAGGTCCATGTCTAATCCCATTGGAGGCCTAATTATTTCCACTCAGTGCACACAAGCCAGACTTCTTAGCCAGGCTTGGAGAGCCCACTGTTTTTCGTTCTTAGTCTTTTTTTTTTTTTTTTTTTTGAGACAGAGTGTCACTCCATCACCCAGGCTGGAGTGCAGTGGTGTGGTCTCGACGCACTAAAGCCTCCACCTCTCCGTTCAAGTGATTCTTCTGCCTCAGCCTCCCAAGCAGCTGGGACTACAGATGCCCACCACAATGCCCAGCTAATTTTTATATTTTTAGTAGAGATAGGGCTTCGCCATGTCCGCCAGGCTAGTTTCGAACTCCTGACCTCAGGTAATCCACCCGCCTTGGCCTCCCAAAGTGCTGGGATTACAGGTGTGAGTCACTGCACCTGGTCTTATTCTCAGTCTTTTTACTCTCTTCTCTCTTGGACAAGACAACCTGAGACCTATAGGACAGAACCACACTATATTTTCCTATACTTCGGTCCCTTTGGACAAGCTGTTTATTTGGTCTTAAATTGCTTTTTCTCTGCCTAGTGAACTCCTGCGTATTCCTCAAAGCCCCGTTTAGATGGCCCTTTCTGACAAGCCTCTTCTGATGCTTTCTCCAAGCAGGTTCATCACTCCCTCTTTTCTGGTTTCATTTTACCTTATAACACACCTAAGTTATAGCCTGGACCTCTCTGTATGCTTACTACTTGTTTTCACTTCTGTCTGCCTTTCATGCTGTTAACGCATTCATGGGAAGGACTTTATCTTATTATTTTAGTTTCCATGGTTCTGCTCCAAGGGTCCATGGGGTTGGTACTTACCTTTTATGAAAAGTAATCCTAACCAATAATTGACTTAATTGTGAAGAGGTTCTACTATGTAGTGATTGAACATTTATCTAGCCTACAAACTATTTGATCTACCTACCTCTCCTGCTAAAAATGTAATATTTGGTATTTCATTTCAGATGTGAGATGGAAAAACAAATTCTGGGGCAAATCCATGGAAATTGTTCCAATTGGCACAACCCATGTGACTCTGCCAGCGTAAGTTCTGTGATTAAGGAGCTTTATAAAATTTAGGGCCAAGATTTTGCTTTGGAGACAGGATGCCCACCCTCCCCCACCTTTGCCAATTGCACTGAGTGCCTGTTTTTTCTTTAATCTGTCTGGCAGTAGGTTTAAATGTTCCTCCTTTTGGCAAGCTCACTTTTTAAAAATGTTTCTCTTTCAAATGCAAATGCCTCCTGGAGAGCAAAGTTCCCTGAATAGATACTTATTAAAACTCATTTTCTCTTCCTAACAAGATTAAGAATGGTGGTTTTTGGCTATGTGTGGTGGCTCACACCTGTAATCCCAGCACTTTGGGAGGCCAAGGCAGGTGGATTGCTTAAGCCCAGAGTTTAAGACCCGTATGGGCAACTGACAAGACCCTGTCTCTAGAAAAAATACAAAAATTAGGCATAGTTGGTGGCATGTACCGGTAGTCCCAGCTACTCAGGAGGCTGAGGTGGGAAGATCAGTTGAGTCCAGGGAGGTTGAGGTTGCAGTGAGCTGTGATCGTGCCACTGCATTCCAGCCTGGGTGATGGAGTCAGACCTTGTCTCAATTTAAAAAAAAAAAATCTGTTTCTCTTATTGTGCTGCTTTGCTGTCAAAATCCCTTTTAAGAAAGGTATGGCCTTGATCTGATAGGGTTGATGAATACTTATTTATAAAGCAAGGTGCTTCTGAGCAGGGACTCTGGAACTGAACTGCTGAGGTTCACCTGCTCACTCTGGCACATACTAACAGCGAATCCCTGGGCAGGTTACTTCACCTTTCTGATCATCAGTTTCCCCGTCTGGAAAATGAAAATAATAAACCACCTACTTCCTATAGCTGTTATGAAGATTAAACAGATAATATACATAAAACACCTAAAATAGTACTTAGCACATTGCATATGTTTTGTAAGAATTTGGTCTTACTAGTAATACCATTTTCCTCATAATTATTTTTGAACTCCATAACCAATATCTGAATACTTTCTCATCATAAAGGATGCGGGCAATATATATTTAGCAAATTGTATAAAACCTTCACCCTTCCTCAAGCTTCCCTTTCCTACTTCGGCAACATTAGATAAGCCCCTCTCGCTCTGAATTGCCGCCTCTGTCAAAGGAGGGAGTGGGCTCTTGCAGGAGACCACCAGCTTCTAGTGAAGACTCTGGTAGCCTCCAGAGTGCAGAGTCTGGATGCTGTCATCCTCTGTGTCGTGCACGCCTCCTTGGAGAGTGGAAGCTCCTGGAAAACCTGGCATGGTGTAGACACTCAGCCAGTGTTGCTTCTGTGAATAAAGGGATGGGTAATGCATTACATGACTTTTTTTTATAGAATAGCAGTGTTTGTATTTGCTGCTGGCTCTTCTGGAAATTGGTACTTCTGCTTTTTCCTTCTTTTTAGTTTTGGTGATCATTTTGAGTGGAACAAAGTGACCTCTTGCATCCATAACATCTTAAGTGGGCAGAGGTGGATTGAGCACTATGGAGAGATTGTCATCAAGAACGTGAATGATGATTCCTGCTACTGCAAAGTGAATTTTATAAAGGTAACTCCAGTGGCTCTCTGAGCTCTGAGCCTGGAAGGGCTGTGGCAGAGCCAGGGCCCCAGAGCACAGGGCATTTGAGAGCTTTTTCACCTTCACCTTTGTGCCAGCAGGCAAACAATGCTGCAGCTCCCTGGTGCCAGCTGCACCTCTGTCACCTAGACCAGGGCAGTGGCCCCTCCTGGCCTCTTACTTCTGTAGAGTCTGTCCTCAGTACAGCAGCCAGAGAGACCCTTTTAAAACATAAATCACTATGTTGCAGTATGGATGCACCTTGACAGCATTATGTTGAGTGAAATAAGTCAGCCCCAAAAAGACAAATATGACATGATTCCACTTCTGCGAGATCCACAGAGAAAGAAAGCAGAATGGGGCTGCAGGAAGGAGGAAGGGGGAATTCATGTTGAATGGGTACAGAACTTCAGTTTGGGAAGATGAAAACGTTCTAGAAGTAGATAGTGGTGATGGTTGCACAGCATTGTGAATGCATTTAATGCCACTGAATTGTACCCTTAGAAATGGTTAAAATGGTCAATGTTACATTACGTATGGTTTACCTCAACTTTTTAAGAAAAAGTCATGCTGTACCACTTTGAGCAAAATCCCCCAAAGTTTCCGTCTTTCTCGGAGTGCAGCCTGCATCCTTATGGTTTCCCACCAGGCCTTGCACAGGCTGCGCTCCCCATCCCCACCGTTTCATGCACATACTTGCACACTTGGAGATACACACACACGTACACACTGGCCACCTCATTCCTCCCCAACCTGAGCTTCTCTTACTTTTTCCTCCTCTCTTTTTCCCACTATCCTCTGGCCACAGTGGCCTTCTTTCTCTTTCTTCATTTCCTTCTGGTTGGGCCACTGTCCCCAGATCCTTCCATCACCATCCCCATGCTGTCCTTCACTCCCTGTCCTGTCTGTCCCATTTTCTCCAGAGTGCTTATCACCATTGGAAGTCAGCCTGCTCATCGTTGCTGTGCTTATTTTCTGCTCTCCATACCCTCCTCATCATCCCTGACTCCAGAAGAGCAAAACCTCGTGTATCCTGCTCTCTTTTGTAGCCCTGATGCCTGAAATGGTGTCTGACACACATCAGAGGCTCATAAACATTCAGAGAATAAATGGAAAGATTGGCCAGAAGCAAAAACTATGGAATAGTCTCTTTATCATTTTAGCCATTTTAACAGCCTTGCGGGGCAGCCCTCCCTGCTTTCTCTCCCTCCTAGATTCCTTCTTGCTCTTAAAAATTGTATATCATTAAAACAGCTTTAAAGCATTACCCACCTCAAGGAATATTTGCATTTAACAGAGACTGAAATAATAAGCAGAGAGGTGAGGTTTTATCGTGGAACTTCATGCAATTCCTCTCCGCACCACCTGTAACCTATAGGGAATGATTAGGAAGAGGTGGATTGGGATCTTTATTACATCCTCAAACTGGGTTATAGACGGACATAAAGCCCATAATGACCTTAATGTGGGACAAAATAAAAATGACTCTGCCTCGAAAACTTTGTCTAAGCTTTCTGCAAACAGAAACAAAAGGCATCCTGAAGCAGGGATATATGACCTGTGACCCAGGTGAAAGCCACGTAGCTCTCAACATTTCCCCCAGGAAGTGTGCTCCACTCTGGTATCTACCACATACCTGCTTCTCATCCACTTACAAGCAAGAGAATTGGTTTTGTAGTCATGAGAGAGGAACACTGGGCGTGTCTAGTATTGGAAGAGAAGCTGCAAGTGGATGCCACACTCACCTGTAGAAGTTGACAATGTCCCTTGGTGGCTTCCAGCAAATTCTCAGCACTGGATTTGTTGGCAGATATCTCTAAGGGAAAATCTGATACCTGCTTCAGAATAAATTTAAGAAGCCAGGCGCCATGGCTGACACTGTAATCCCAGCATTTTGAGAGGCTGAGGCAGTAGGCTCACTTGAGGCCTGGAATTTGGGACCAGCCTGGGCAACATGGCAAGACCTCATCTCTACAGAACATTTAAAAATTAGCCAGACATGGTGGCATGCACCTGTAAGTCCCAGTTGCTAGAGAGGCTGAGGCCAAAGGAGCACCTAAGCCCAGAAACTTGAGACTATAGTGAGCTGTGATTGCCCCACTGCACTCCACCCTGCACCCTGGGGAACAGAGTAAGACCCTGTATCAAAAAAAATAAAAACTTAAGAGTCTCAATAGTCTTTTTTTTTTTTTTTTTTTTTGGTGTGTGTGGGGGTGCTTTTCCCTCATTCTTACATGGCTGGAAAACTCAACTTTAAATTTCTAATTCAGCTGAGACACTTCACTTTCCCACCCTTAACATTTTTACCACAGTCCTGAAATGGAGAAGCTGAACTACCAGAATCTGACCTGAAAATGCCATTCAACTTTATTGGTTTCCAAATGTGGATTCTGTTTCGCTGAAAATAGTACTAGGGTTTTTTGATTTATGGAGAAATGCCTTCCCTTCGCTGTTCTTTCATAGAGATTTTTAGGGCAGCCAGGTAATTTGTAAAAAAAAAAAAAAAAAAAAAAAAAAAAAATCAACTCTGGGGAGCTAGAGCACCCTCTGCTGGCTGCATTATGGTACTATATAAAATCCTCTGCACTGGGCTGGCTTGAGCTGAGCTGAACTGAGCAGAATGGAGTACAAGATTGCCTTGCAGACTAGGACCAATACATAGCGAGAATATCCACACTACTCACCTGATGTATAGAGACTGAACCTTTTCTTTTTCTTTTCCTTTTCCTTTTTTTTGAGATGGAGTCTTACTCTCGCCCAGTCTGAAGTGCAGTGGTGTGATCTCGGCTAACTGAAACCTCCGTCTCCCGGGTTCAAGTGATTCTTGTGTCTCAGCCTCCCAAGTAGCTGGGATTACAGGTGCCCACTACCACAGCTGGCTTATTTTTATATTTTTAGTAGAGATGGGGTTTCACCACGTTGGACAGGCTGGTCTTAAACTCCTGACCTCAGATGATCCACCCACCTTGATCTTCAAAAGTGCTGGGATTACAGGAGTAAGGCCTGCACCTGGCCAAGAACTGAGCCTTCTCTTGCATTGTATGTAGCAAAGGTAGAAATAAAAATGTATCTTACACAAATATTAGTTGAGTTACAAACTGTAGATAGTTAACCGTTTATTAAATAACCAAAGGTATGACTTTTTTTAAAGCCAAAATCCAGGCATAAAAACAGATATATAGAACAATGGAACAGAATAGAGAGCTCAGAACTAAATCCATGCATTTATAATTAATTGTTTTTTGACAAAGGTGCCAAGAACACACAATGGGGAAAGGACAGTCTCTTCAGTAAATGGTGTTGGAGAACCTGGATATTCACTGCTGAAGAATGAAATTAGAACTTTATACCATATACAAAAATCAACCCCAAAAGGGCTAAAGACTTACAATAAGACCTGAAATTGTAGAACTACTAAAACATAAGGGGAAAAGCTTCATAATGTTGGTTAGGGCAATTATTATTTTTGGATATGACTGCAAAAGCACAGATAACAAAAGCAAACATAGACAAATGGGATTATATCAAACTAAACAGCAAATTAAACAATGAATACAGTAAAGAAACAACCTACAGAATGGGAGAAAATATTTGTAAACTATACATTCAATAAGAGGTTAATACAAAAAAATGTATAGGGAACTTAATAGCAAGAAAACAATCTAATTTAAAAATGGACAAAAGACCTGAAGAGACGTTCCTCAGAAGAAAACATACAAGTGGACAACAGATATATGAGGAAAAAACGATGAACATCAATAATCATCAGGGAAATGCAAATTAAAACCACAATGAGATACCACCTTATATCTATTAGAATGGCTATTATCAAAAAGCTGAAAACATGTTCAGGAGGATATGGAGAAGAGGAATCACATACCATTCATGGAAATGTAAATCAGCACAGCCAATATAGAAAACAGAATGGAGGTTCCCTAAAAAATTAGAAATGGAATTACCCTATGAGCTAGCAATCCCACTACTGGGTGTATGTCCAAAGGAAATGATATCAGTATGTTGAAGAGATACCTGCATCTCCATGTTCATTGCAGCACTATTCGTAATGGCCAAGATAGGGAAACAACCTCTGTATCCAACAATGGATGAATGGGTAAACAAAATGTGGCACATGTAACACAGTGGAAAACTGTCTGGCCTTTAAAAAGAAGGAAATCTTGTCATTTGCAACAACATAGGTGAACCTGGAGGATGTTAAGTGAAATAAGCCAGACACAGAAAGATAGATGCCACCTAGTCTTCTATTTGGAATCTAAGAGTTGATCTCACAGAAGTAGAGGGTAGAACGATGGTTAACATGGGTTTGCCGAGGGTCAAGGGGAGGATTGGGAAATATTGGCCAAAGGATCCAAAATTTCAGTTTAACGGGAAGAATTAGTTCAAGAAATCGATTGTACAACATGCTGACTATGGTTAATAACAACGTGTTGTATACTTGCAAATTGCTGAGAGTTTTTCTTTTCTTTTCTTTTTTTTTTTTTTTTTTTTTGGGGGGGGGGATGGAGTTTTACTCATGTTGCCCAGGCTGTAGTGCAATGGCACAATCTCAGCTCATCACAACCTTTGCCTCCCAGGTTCAAGTGATTCTCCTGCCTTAGCCTCCCGAGTAGCTGGGATTACAGGCATGCACTGCCATGCCTGGCTGATATTGTATTTTTAGTACAGATGGGGTTTTTCTGTGTTGGTCAGGCTGGTCTCAATCTCCCGACCTCAGGTAATTTACCCACCTCGGCTCCCAAACTGGTGGGCTTACAGGCATGAGCCACCACGCCTGGCCGCTGAGAGAGTTTTATTTTTGGATATAACCCCAAAAACACAGACAAAAAAGCAAACATAAACAAATGGGATTATATCAAACTAAACAGCAATGAAAACAATCAGTACAGTAAAGAACCGGCAGAATGGTAGAAAATATTTGTAAACTATACATCCGATAAGAGATTAATATAAAAAATGTGTAGAGAACTCAATAGCAAGTATTATCATAAGTAAGTATGTAAGGTAATATCTATGTTAATTAGCTTGATTTAGCCATTCCACAATGTATACATGTTTCAAGACATTATGTTGTACATGATAAATATATAAAATTTTTGTCAATTAAACAGAACTGAGAACTAGCAAACTAATACGCAGTATAGAATCACTCTTACAGTTCTTTCTCTAGCTTTTCCTTCTTTCCTCAGTATCTGTAATAAGCTGATGCTAAAGAACTAAGCCAACAACTCTAATTTGAATCCTAGGCGAAATACTGGAGCACTAACGCCCATGAGATTGAAGGCACAGTGTTTGACAGGAGTGGAAAAGCAGTGCATCGGCTGTTTGGGAAATGGCATGAAAGCATCTACTGCGGCGGCTCCTCCTCTTCTGCTTGTGTATGGAGAGCAAGTAAGTGTCTGGGTTTGTGGACCCCAGGCTGTGAGTGGGTGGATGGGCAGGCATGGCAAAAGAAGCCACACAGGACAGGACTAGTGTCTGTTCAGCGTCTCCAGCCTCTTCTGCTTTTAACTAGGCTAGAGGTGTTGGCTGTCTTTCCTTTATCCAGTCTTCATCTCCTTGTCATGCTTACTTATAGCAACACCTTGTTGGGCTGCTGGGTCCCGGTTCTTGACCCCAGAACAAGCATTGCTAATCAGTGGGCATTCTCTGAGGGAATCTTCCTGTCCACGTGCATAACTGTACTGGGCACTATGAAAGAACATCAGTGAAATGCAAGAAGTCATTCTACAGCACGGACAAAGAGGAAAGTGTTCCTGGAAAAGCAGTGAGCCAGGAGATCTACAGAAGTTAGCTATCCCTGGCTGGCCTAACCTCAGAAACCATCCTCGTCACTCCTGTGATTCCAGAAGGGTGCTGAGCTCTTGGAGCAGATGGGGACAGAAGAGCTAGGGAACCCCAGCTTTTATCAGGATGTCCCCGCCACATTTTAACGTCTTATTCCATCTTCTAAGTCAGAAAATTATGTTGTTTCCGAGTCACAGCCATATTGTAATGCCAGTGGTCTGAGATAGACCTGTTAGGGTACTATAGGCAGGTAAAAACCAAACAGAAAACCTTCGACTTGTGGCTTAAACCATTAGGCTGTGTGCTATTACATAACAATAAGTGAGGCAGCCGGTGGCCCCAGGGGTATTACGTAGGCAACTTACCTGTGTCAAGGACACACATAGCAGTGAGGATTACATTCTGCTACCCCCAGTGTGCTGTGATGTCTCCCTGATGGATGAAAAATGGTTGTTAGCATTCAGTGTCATACCTCTGCGTAACAGCATACCAACCATGTAACGAGAGGACAAAAGAGCTCTTTTCTCCTGTGCCTCTTTTTTTCTCAGGAATATTTTCTAAGATCCCCCAGCAAATGGAACTTTACATCACATCAGCCTGCAGTGGGTTCAGACCCATCTATGAACCAGTCATGGGCAACAGGGTAGGCAGGAGAGATTCAAATGTCTTAGATTCATCCCCAGTAAGGGCACAATGCCACTTGAACAGAATCAATATTCTGTTAGCAAGCAAGAAAGAGAAATGATGGTCAAGTAGGCAGCCGACAGTGGTTCTTTCAATGGGTAGCTGCCACATCTCCCACCGTTGTAGAGGTTGCCATGAAGCTAGAAGGAATTCACGCTGGTGGAAGCCTTGCTAGCTTCAGAGGCACTATGAGGTTTTGCAAATGGCACAGTCTCTCTCCTTGGCTTAAAGTATGCATCACAGATGAGAACTACCATCCTGTCTCAGTGTTCAAGTACTACCTTGATAAAGCAATATTGTTTAAATTTTTGTTCCTGTCATTATACCTTGACTTTATGTCTCTCTGTTGGCAGTGAGCATCCCTGGCCCATCTTTAAGAATAAGCACCATCTTCACTCCCTGGTGGCTGGGGAGTGACCAAGACCCATAGGAAACTTTGCTACTGTTTTTATGCTTAGGATACACAGAGAATTAGACTAGTTACATGGAGGACTTCTGAAGATTCAAAAAACGGATCCCGGCTGGGCATGGTGGCTCGTGCCTGTAATCTCAGCACTTTGGGAGGCCAAGTGGGCAGATTGCTTAAGGCCAGGAGTTCAAGACCACCCTGGACAACATGGCAAAATCTTGTCTACTAAAAATACAAAAATCAGCCAGGCATGGTGATGTGCACCTCATGTAGTCCCAGCTACACGAGAGGCTGAGGCATGAGAATCACTTGAACTCTGGAAGTAGAGTTGCAGTGAGCCGAGATCGTGTCACTGCACTCCAACCTGGGTGACAGAATAAGACCCTTTTGAGAAAAAAAGCGCAGGGGGAGTGGTCTGCCGAAGAGTTGTTGGAAAGCATTTAGGCTATGAGTGGATCTCAGTCTACATTCGATTTACACAATATATCAATTTCAGTATGTTTAGCTTGAAAAGCTGGAATTCCAGTTAGGGCAATGCACCTAATGTTTTAAAGATGTAAGGTTGCGGGGAGGCAAGAATTGGTAAAACGGACAGGAATGAAAGAAAAGAATAACATTGATTAACTACTTGCTGTGTATTCAGCACCATTCTAGGTACTAAAAAGAGTCAGGATAATTTGACATCACTTAAATAAAATCGGATTCTCTAGAGTGAGAATCAGGAAAAATGGACCCAGAGCTTATATTTACATGTTTGTTTATTATTATCATTTATTTATTTATTTACTTTTGAGATGGAATTTCGCCCTGTTGCCCAGGCTGGAGTACAGTGGCACAATCTCAGCTCACTGTAACCTCTGCCTCCCAGGTTCAAGTGATGCTCCTGCCTCAGCCTACATAGTAGCTGGGATTATAGGCACCTGCTACCACGCCCGGCTATTTTTGTATTTTTAGTAGAGATGGGATTTCACCATGTTAGCCAGGATGGTCTCGAATTCCTGATCTCAGGTGATCCACCCGCGGCGTCGGCCTCCCAAAGTGCTGAGATTACAGGTGAGCCACCATGCCCAGCCTATTTATTATTAATATTATTAGTAGTATTTTTTTTTTTGAGATGGAGGTTACTCTTGTCACCCAGGCTGGAATGCAGTGGCGCGATCTTGGCTCACTGCAACGTCTGCCTCCCAGGTTCAAGTGATTCTCCTGCCTCAGTCTGATTATAGGCACCTGCTACCATGCCTGTCTAGTTTTTGTATTTTTAGTAGAGACAGGGTTTCGCCATGTTGGCCACCTGGTCTCGAACTCCTAACCTCAGGTGATCCACCCACCTCAGCCTCCCAAAATGCTGGGATTACAGGCATGAGCCACCATGCCTGGTCTAGCATGTTTATTTTAAAATCAAATTATTTTCATAGTTTAAGCACTACAGAAACTTCACAGCATTGTATAAATTTACTATCTGACCACATATAGAGGGCCACATCCCTGTAGACAGAAGAAAAATTATAGAGAAGAAAATTTGTAGGGAAATTTTCAGCACCTGTTCGTTAGTCAGAATATTTTAACAGAAATGGAAAGGAGCTGAGAGATAAAAACTGTAGCTAGCCTGAGGTGAAAAGGTGAAGGAATTAAAATGTAACATAAATGACACGCAAGTTAGGGGTGAATGATTTATTTTCTTCTTAGATCCCATGCCGAAAGGCTACGAGCAATACTATGGCTTCACACAGTTCGCGCTGGAATTAAATGAAATGGATCCATCGTCCAAGTCTTTATTGCCACCTACTGACACTCGATTTAGGCCAGACCAGAGGTAAGGATTCTTTAAAGATTTTTCTCTCCAGAGATTTAAAACCCTTTACAAAAAGTCTTATGAACAACCTTCAGGCTGCCAGAGGCACCTGAGAAAGATGGAAAATGCCATCAGGAGCTGAGAGGTAGGGGGGCTTTAAACAATTGTATCACGGAGGAGATGGGACCCAGCGAGACTCCAGGTGTGGCATGGCCTTTATTATCCATAAAGCCCCATTTCTACTGAAACACCAAAAAAGGTGTTTATACTGAAGAGTTTTACTGCACGCAGTAATAAAGAACTTAGTGTATTTGAAAGGGTAAAAAGCATCCCGCTCCCCTGAGCCCTCAAATTTAAATTATTTTAGTGCACTGAGATCTAACTGCGGATCATAGGTTGCTGCTCACAAGCTGTGTGATACATGGTAGGTCTTTTAATCTTTCCCAGCCTCAATTTCATACTCTGTAAAATGGAAATAATAATGTCTCCCTTAAGGCCTTTCTAATTAAGGCTCAAAATCTAGAAGCCCAAGGAAAGAAAAGATTGCTACATTTGGCTTTATTAAAAATAACACTTTGGGAGGGCCAGGCGGGCAGATCACTTGAAGTTAGGAATTCGAAACCAGCCTGGCCAATATGGTGAAACTGCATCCCTACTGAAAATACAAAAATTAGCCAGGCATGGTGGCACATGCCTATAGTTCCAGCTACGTGGGAGACTGAGGCATGAGAATCGCTTAAACCCAGGAGGAAGTGGCTGCAGTGAGCCGAGATCACGCCATTGCAACTCCAGCCTGGGTGTCGCAGTGAGACTCTGCCCCCCCAAAAAACAAACAAACATAAGCTCTTCTTTGTGACAAAATAAATAAAACTATATAAGGTCAGAAGATAAATGACAAATGGAGAAGTCCGTGTCCGCAACTTGTATCATGAATTGCCTCTAGAAATTTAGTAATAGATCAACCCCTTAGAAAAAATGAACATACGGAGGTAAATTTGTTTTGCAGGAATTGAACGCTATTGTTAGCAAGTACGTAAAAAAGATGTGAAACAGTTTATATTTGTCACCTATAACAGTATGTCCCAAACGGGCACATCCTCCTAATAATTTTGTTTTAAAGAAAGCCATACGTAGAATGCTTCAAGCTATCTTGCTGTGCACATTATGCTTGTACTGTTTTGTGCAGTTTATCTGCTTTTTTAGGGAATTTTTTTTGTATAAAATCTATTACAGTTGTGTTTCTTAAATTGAGCCTAAGGATGGAGTTAACTGGAAATATACAGTATGTATTAATAATGTATGTGGTGCTTAAAGAATGGTAAGCATTGTTAATTTCTGTAATGAATGTTGTCAATTAAATTATCTTAAGTTTGTGTTTAAAAGAAAAAGGGAAAATAAACAGTCCACAAAATAGGAAATGCAGATATCCCTTAAACATGTGAAAAGATGCTCAGTCTTAGTCATAATAAGAAAAATGCAAATTTAAAAAGTCATGTCAACATCCCATTTTTTAGCCTATCTGATTGGCAAAAATTCAGAAGTTTTATATACTCTGAGTTTATGGGAGAAAAGGGCACTCTCAATATTGCTGATGGGAATGTAAATTGCTATAATTCCTATAAAGTGCAGTTCAGTAATATATAAATTACATACTCACCCTTTTACCCAGCAATTTCACTTCTAGAAATTTCTCCTACAGATTTTTCCTGCTTACTCATATAGTATGATGGATATACAGGGTCATTAATTGTCACATTAAAAAAATTGGGAACAATTCAAATGTCTATCCATAGGGAATTGTCTAAATAAATTCAGATACATCCACACAACTGGATATTATGTGACTATCAAAAAATGAAAATGTCTATGTATATCCATGGAAAGATCTCTAAGATAAATTGTTAAAAAGTAAAGCAAAACAGGAAATCAAAGGATAAATAGCATGCTACCATTTATATGTTTTAAATGGAGGGAGGGGTAAGAGTATGTATCAATATTTGTTGATACACACATGAAGAATCTCTAGAAGGATGCAAAGGAAACTAGTAACTGGGTTTCCTAGGGTGGGAGGGTGAAGGTGGCTGGAGTTAGAGACAAGGAAGAACGGAAGACTTTGCTTTAAATTCTTTTTTGTTGATAGAATTTTTGAATCATGTAAATATCGCCAATTCAAAAAATCTCTATTTCAAAATACTAATTAAAGGGTTGGGGGCGGGGTCTTACATATAGGAGAGGATTTTGAATATCCAGTCGTGGACACATGGGTGTTGAGTAGTAATGATTATTTTGTTTTCTTGAATTCTTATCCTTTAATTTTTTTCCCTCAATGCCTCAGGTGTCTAGAGGAAGGGAACTTAGAAGAAGCTGAAATACAAAAGCAGAGGGTGGAACAGCTACAGAGAGAAAGGCGGCGGGTCTTAGAAGAAAATCACATGGAGCACCAGCCTCGGTTTTTCAGGTTTGTGCCTGGATTGAGTAGGTTTTTGGTTGATAGGTGGTGCCAACACGTTATGCTTCTGGTTTGCAGAAAGTGAACAGTACTGTGCCTTCCCCAGATGAGAACATTCTCCTTGCTTTTCCTGCTTCCGCCTGGGGAGACTGCTCCTCTGTGCCAGGGCCATCTTCCCTGACACTTCCCTTCAGGCTCTCCCTCTTGCTGACCTCAGGCAGGAATAGGGCCTGCGTTTTTTGCATTCTTTGAGCTTTCCCAGTGCCTCAACCAGTGAGTTTACAGAGGAGGTTCTCAGTACAGGGAGCCTGCCAGAGCTGGGTCCCAGCGCAAGGCCAGCTTATTGAATTCACAGCTAAGGTTGGTCACTCGCATAGGCACAGTTTACACCATGACAGAGATCATTGATGATCACTCCACAGTTAAGCAGTATGGAAATCCCAAGCAGTCTGTTTCTTGCATTGTAGAAGTCCCAATACACCTGGGCTTGCATTTGGAACATTTACAGTTATTTTTAAAATAACTTGCCAAGAAGGTCTTGTTAAGATAGATTGAAATTTTTAAAGAAGGTATGAGAGATCCACCTTTCACCTCCCTATCTCCTCTTTTAACTGAGTAGAAGCGAAAGCCCAAGGCACTAAGGGGATCTATTGAAGGACTTAGTGGAATGCCCCCGGCTGGGGCCTGACTCTCCTCATTACCAGCCAGGGCCTAAATGGTTTTAGTTTTTCTGTTTGTTCTTCTTTTAAAAAAGTTAAATAGGCATATGTAGAAAGCAGCAAGTTCCTGCTGTGCTCCACCCGCCCAGGTCCTCCTTCCAGGGCCATCACCTCTTCATTGTTTTAGGATGCTTTTTTGTTTGTGTTTGTGCTTGTTTTCATTGGACGACAGAAGTACTTTGGGGAGGATTCAGTTACTAGTAACAGCAGCAGTAATACAATATGTATTCCAAAACATCAAGATAGTAACAAGTAAGGGTTTGTCTCGAGAATATCATGCTCTTTTCCCTAAAGTTGATGTAGATTCTACTAGATGCCTTTGGATCATTTCCACAAATTCAGGTTATTAGTGATTGAAAATCAACTGGCCAAAATTTCATCCCGAAATATTCAAACTTCATTTAAACATTTAAAGAATAAGATGGAAATGTTACATTCTTTTTTGAAAAAGGCAAGAAATAGAAAAATGGATAGATTAACAGACTAATCCATTGATTCACTGATCAGTTGATAGGTAAGCACATAACATACACCTGTAAGTAGGTTGGTTCTTTTTCTCCCGTACCTTGTCTAGTTTCATTTTTTTAAAAAGAAAAACCTACAATTATAAAACTGTTCATTACAGTACTTTCTAGGATCATTAAAAATGGTAGGTAACTAAAGTGTCTCAAGGACTCGTTAAGGAGATTCACCAACTTGATCCAGCATGAGGCATTAAGGATGACCTTCCAAAGCCTGCGGAGCTCTACAGGCTAAATGCAAGATACAGAACGTGGTTATGCTGTCATTGCAATCAGGAAGGAATTATGTCTGGAATGGAAAAGGATGGAGAGCCGCTTCAGCTGGGGCAGCCATCACTATTTTTCTTATTGACTGTCTATAAAATAATGATAGCATTAGACAGGGAAATTTTTTTAAATTGGAGAAGAAGTGAGAGTTGTTCAGCGGTAGCGGTCTTCCTTGGAACTGTTGAAATGAGAAACCTGGCAAAGAGATTTTGGAGAGGAATATGGGGACTTGGATGTTGTCATTAATACTTACTGAGGAACAACAACAAAATCACTGAAAATTCTGAGTGGAAGCTGGAGCTCAGACCAAATTGAGCCTCTTTATTTTAGAATAGTGAACAGTCTGATACACAGACTGACTCATTTTTAAACACATCCCATTACCGGAACAGGGAAGCAGGTGTGATTAAAAACCTACATTCCTGAGAGCGTGGGAAAACAGGCAGTCTCCACTTTTGCTTCTAAAACGTATGGTAATATCAGTCACCATCACAAAAGCACATACTCTTCGACCCAGCCATGCTAATTACAGGGATTTCTAATGTAACTACACTCACATACTTATAAAATAACATATGCTGAGCTACAGTTTAAAAATAACCTAAGTACCCATCAGTAGGGTACCTATTAGGTAAATTGTGGTCCGTCCATACAATGGAATATCATACAACTGTATAAAAAGAAAATGAGGAATCCCTTAATGCTGGAATCACCAAACTTTTCCTATGAAGAACAAATGATAAATATTGTTGGTTTTGTGGGAATTCAGGTTTTAGTAGCAGTTATGCAGCCCAGCTGTTCAGCATTGAAAGCAGCCATAAACAACATTTAAACAAATGGACATGCCTATGTTCCAATAAAACAGTGTTTCAGAGATAGGCAGAAGGCTGGATTTGACCCTTGGGCCATAGTTTGCCGACCCTTGCCTTATTATACTAATCGGAAATGATCTCCAATATATTTCATTATGTCAAAGCTGGAAGGATAGAAAAGTGTCTGGTACAATATTATGTCACAATGAGAGGGGATAGAGTGTGTGTGTTCCTGCACACGTGGACACACACACGCATGGAATTTCCCTGAAAGAATGAAGCTGACAACATCCCTACCTCTGAGGAGAAGAATCAGGAGTCTAGGAGAGATGGGGAAGAGAAAAACTTGAAGCAGTATATCCTTTTGTGCTCTTTGAATTTTGGTCTATGTCATATATTCTCTATTCAAAGAACAGAAAATCAGGACTAATCTCTCCAGACACTGTGGCTTCCAATCCTTTTTTTCTGTTTTGTTTTGTTTGATGTTAACCACTTCCTATGCACAACCTCGTTGATGTGTAGCTTTTGTGCAGTCATTCCCAAGGTGGTGACAGTCATGCAAGTCATGTTTTGTATCCGACAGACTCTCCCCGCATCCTCCTTCTCTCAGAAGCACCACTTTTCACAGACTCTAACTTTGAGAAGTCAAAGTCAAGAGTAACAAAATAGGCCAGGCACGGTGGCTCATGCTTGTAATCCCAGCTCTTTGGGAGGCCAAGGCAGGTTGATCACCTGAGGCTAGGAGTTCGAAACCAGCCTACCCAACATGTTGAAACTCTGATTCTACTAAAAATACAAAATTAGTTGGGCATGGTTACACATTGTTGTAGTTCCAGCTACTCGGGAGGCAGAGGAATCGCTTGAACCTGGGAAGCAGAGGTTGCAGTGAGCCAAGATCACACCACTACACTCCAGCCTGGGCGACACAGCCAGACTCCGTCTCAAAAAAAAAAAAAAAAAGCGGGAGAGTTACAAAATGATTTCCAGATTTCCATTTCCCAGAATTTCCAGTCCCAACACTGGGATGCTGAATGCATGTGGGAATGAGGATGGGGAGAGCAAGGAGGTTAGGAAAGAAAGAGACTTGAGAATATGATGCTGGTTTTGAGTCTGCAAGAAATTGTTTCCTCTTTGACAGGAAATCCATCGATGACTCTTGGGTGAGCAACGGCACCTATTTGGAACTTAGAAAAGATCTTGGTTTTTCCAAACTGGACCATCCTGTCTTGTGGTGAAAAAGTAAAGAAGAAAGATAATGTTAGTGTATTTCTCCTGTGTTTGCTTCCTGAAGCTGCACAAACCTGTGTTTATGTATTTAAAAGATACTCTAGGATGATCACTTATGCTTAGCTTAGCATTGTAACTATTTAAGTCTATATTTTCCTCAATGAGTTTCTTTACAATTTCAAATGTTACCCTGATTGTTTATATGAATGTAGAATACCTTGATATTTCTTTTTATATGTAAACTAATAAAAATGAAAGATTGAATGTTCATGTGTGGGTTAAAAAAAAGAAGCTTTAACACTAATTTTCCAAAGGTTAGGGAAGCTTCCAATTAAATTTATGCCTTATAAAATTACGTTGTAGGAAAAAAAAATCAACCTCTTCCAGGTGCATTAAGAAATAAGAATACCCAGGGTTACTCAACCACGCATAAGCTACCGAAGTTTAATTCGGTAGCTGAGATATCTTTTTGCCTCAGACAGCTCTTGAATTGCTCATACAGAACAATTCTGCTGGTGCTGGAGTCTGAAGAATATTTTCATTTGCATTTTAGTGGTTAGGGAGAGGATGTAAGATTAATGGAATGTATATTTTTGTATAAGATGAATATGGCACCTTCTTGAAGAGGAAGCATTTGAACTTGTTTCTCCCTATAGTTCTGTTGCCTTAAATGCAAAAGCGTACCCTCTTGCTCAGAGAAACTGTCGTTAATAAGAGAAAAAAAATCCAATTAATTAAAAATTGTAATAGCATCCCAGAGAGACAGTAGGAAATTTCTCCTCAGTGGGAGCTGAATCCTTGAGAGGTTAAGAGACCGTTTCCTGCTTCCCACCCCACCCCTAGTTTTTTGACCCTCTGTTTGATCACATCCCTGTTGAGTATAGAATGTCCCAGTTTAATATAAAACGTGTAGTTTATTCCACACAGCAGTTTGACTTTGTAAAAGTTTAGCAAAATAATTGTTTCGAATAACTCAACATGTTTTTCTTAAATGCTGTTTCAGTATTTTCTACCTCTTAATAAGCACCATATTTTAGATCTTGTATAAAAAGTTTGCCATCTGCCTTATAGACAAATGTAGAGAATTGATGTTCTTGCTTTGTGTTGTGTTCTGGCAAAGCTTTAAGTAAGTGTCTTACCCCTTTCCTATACTTTCTTGTTATCCATATCACTCTTTTGTGAGTTTTACAGCAGTCTTGAATAATACAAATTATAACTATTGAAAGGGGGAAACTTTGTCTTCTTAAATGTGTTATTTCAATTTACAATAATATAATTTGTGTAGTAGTTGAATTGTGTTATCAAAGCAATTCCACCTTCTGCCCGGATGACATTAAAACCAAAGCCTAATTGTTAAGCCTTTTATTCTCAAGTCGATAGCAGTCCTATGGAATATCAAGTATAATGATGTGGTCTAAAGATTTCTCCAGAAAACACTTTTAGATCCTTACATTCAGAGCATGTCAAATGTTATGAATGAAGGGTAAAATAATTACAGGAAAAGAATGCATGATTTTTCATTGTCACACCAAATAACCAGTTGGACAATATTGCATTTTCAAAATGGAGAGTTATTTAAAGTGGATCTGTAGCCTTCTGGAATCCACGCGTGACTGGCATTTTAAAACAACTCATTAAATATGGGATTCATTTTATTGAGATGCCAAGATGAGCACAATATGAGTATCATTTCCATTTCTAAGCAGTTGAATGACACAGTCAGATTCTTTGGCGTGTGCTTTGTTCTTTTCATTGCAAGCATTTATCCAAATTCTGCTCACAGACATGAGGAAGCAGGCTGAGATTGAAGAGCACTCAAGGGGAAAACAAATGTAGTTTCCACAATGTGTGGGTAAATGTAGAATCTTAGTAATATTGGCTGTTAAATTGGCCTGCTCCAGAGACTGGCTCAAAAAAGAAAGAAGCAACAAAAACAAAATGTACAGCCTGCAGGGATGTAGTGTTGTCATGTGGCATTTGGAAATTCTTTAATTATCCTAATGTTATTATTTCAGTTGCTCTTATGCTTTATTTTAGAATCCCAAGGACAACAGGACTAAGTATCACCTCTCTAGTCATCTTATTTGAGATGAGGGTGGGGATGAATTAAAATATGATACAGAACTATGTGCAGCTTTTAAAATCTAACTAGTCAGTACTAGCATCTATAAAGGGCTTTTCTGAAATTTAAACAGGTTGGTGATGCATCCTGATATTATAAGCTTAAAACTATTTTGAAAGGGAAATGGCTTCCTTTTTCCTTCTGTCCCTTTTCTGAAAATCATCTAGAGACACCAAATTTGTGTCTCTAGGACAGTTTATAGTTTTAAGAGAAAGAAACAGAAATGTGGCATCATTTGGGAAGAACCAATGTACAATTTAATTTTCTGGAATTTAAATCTCCTGGTTAAATAATACTAATCACTGTCCCATTTGAGTTACTTGTTTTAACCTCTTTTTTTTTTCCTACTTATTCCATCCAAAATTTCTGGTGAAATACACAGAAATTCTTGGAAATGGAACTTTGTGCAGGTAACCACCACCCTGCACCTCAGGTGATGTTCCTGTTATAGCTATCTACTACCCCACACTGCAGGAAATCCATTCAGAAATGAGCAAACAGTCTCCAGTGTAGCAGGAGAGCCAATCAGTTTCCTCCCCAGGCCCCTGAGCACCCCACGGCTGGTATTCCCTTGAGTCATAGGTATGTATTAATAATAAAAGCCTCAATGCAGCTTCTCCGTGTAGTTCCTCTCCTAAAGCCAGGTGGATTCTGGTCCTAACTAAAGAGATGGGAGTTCACTTGAGGGCAGGAAGAGCCCAGGGTGCCCTAACAGCCCCACAGTTGTCTTGTGCTTCCTGTGAGGCTCCCTGGGGAGGAATATTCAAACTAATATTTTGTAAATGTTTACTTCATTTAGGCTGCTTCTCTTCTCATGTTCTGCTTTAATTACTTGCAGTAAGTCGTTTGCTTGGGCTTCAAGCACTGTCCTCATTCTCCATCTTCCAGATTTATCATGAGTGATCTTGTTCTACTGTTAATGATGTCAAGCCTAAAAAGGAAATAATAAATTATTTGGCTGTTGAACTTCGATGTAGGCCTACTACATACACTATAAGTTATGCCTTCTGGCTATCACAGAATCTCCACAGACCTTTTAGTTATAAGTAGAAGCAATAAGAAGTTGTTCTTATGATCTTAGGAATAGTTCCAATGTATTGGCATAATTGGTTTGAATGTCTTTGATTTTGATATTAACATCAGCATAAATCTATTTTTGCTACCAGATGATAGCTATTTCATTTGCTCAGTTTTCCTCTGCATTGTAGTAATTATCTGTTATGAGTGTTAGTCTTCACTCTTCTGTGTTGGAAACCTGTGTCATGTAAATATCTGCAAATCATGACAGTCTAAAGTGCAAACCATTTTCAGAGACTGGTTTGGGGAATGCAATGATCAGAAGTGGCTAATTTATTTTATTTCTTATTATTTTATCCAGAGGATACTTTTTTAATGGATATTTGTAAATCTTCCACTTAACCATTGAAAATTATTTTCTGTTTTAATCCCACCCTTCCATCCATACCTATGTGCCTCCCAGAAAGCTCCTATTAATTTGCTTATCCCCCTCATGTAGCTAGTTGAATGTGAATAAATAATGTGGAAAAAAGGCTGGCTACTTTTGTCATTGTTTTTCCAGGTTAGTGGGTTTATGTGACTGCTGAAAGGGAACAGAATAGGACCCTTGCCTGGACTCTTTCAAGGAGGATCACATCAGGTTAATGAAAGTAATGGGAGTTGGAAATAAGAATACCCCAGGCCACAAAATACTTGGAAACCATAATATCACCAGACTTTTTCTCCTAACATTCCAAGGCACACCACAATTGTAGATCCCCCTCAGCCCTTAGAAGAGAGAACTGAGGAAACTGGAGCCCCAGGCAGGACACCTCCAGCCCCAGGAGACCCTCTGTTGATTCCAGTGTGCTATGAAAATATTACAGTTGACTCTTGAACAATACAGGGACTAGGGTGCCAATACCCCATGCAGTTGAAATCCATGTATAACTTTTGACTCCTCCAAATCTTCCCTACGGTTGGCTCACTGTTGACCAGAAGCCTTCCCAATAACACAGTTAACACATCTGTTGTATGATATGTGTATTCTAGACGGTATTCTTATAGTACATTAACGTAGAGAAAAAAATGTTATGAAGGAAATCATTAAGAAGATAAAATATGCCGGGCACGGTGGCTCACGCCTGTAATCTCAGTACTTTGGGAGGCTGAGGTGGGCGGATCACCTGAGGTCAGAAGCTCGAGACCAGCCTGACCAATATGGTGAAACCCTGTCTTTAAAATAAAAAAGAAAGAAGATAAAATACATATACTGATACTAAGTGGAAGTGGGTCACAATAAAGATCTTTGTCCTCATCGTCTTCACGTTGAGTAGGCTAAGGAGGAGAAGGAAGAGGAGGGGTCGCTCTTGTTTTTCAGGGGTGGCACAGGCAGAAGAAAATTTGAGTACAATTGGACCCATACAGCTCAAACCCATGTTGTTCATGGGCGTGTGTGTGTGTGTGTGTGTGTGTGTGTGTGCGCGCGTCCTAATGTGAAACAGGAAAATGCTGACGATTAAACCAACACAATCGTCCTTATGAATAATTAACTTATCTCTCATACCTGAGTTGTGCCTTTTGCAATACCAGGAACACCCTTAGCACTCTCTAAAATTCCATTTGTTTCCGTTGATATATTAATGGTGTTACACAGTGCACTAGAATGCAGAGTTACTGACATAAAGTCACGTCTCTGCATCCCTGAAAACAAAGAGATATCCAAAAGCAATTCATGAACCTTGATTGGATCTTGGCTTAAAAGGAAAAATAAGCTATAAAAGATATTTAGATAACAATTAGTAGAATTTGCATATAAACATAATGAAATTTTTGCCAATTCCCCTATGCATATTGTGATATTGTGTGTTGAACTGAATCAACTCTGCCCTTAAAGGAGGATAGTTTTTCATCATTATTTAAAATAATGTGTTAGGGGCACTAAAGAATATCTTTAAAGGCAGCCTCAGAATATTTTAACATGTTGGCATTGAAACATCCTAAGCTGTCAGCTTTGAAAAGGCAATACAATTTGGAGGCATAAGTTCCAAGCCATTAGTTTAGAAATTTAGTCAGATTATTTTCTAATCATACCAGTGAAGTACCAACATTATCACAGTTAATGTCCGTCAGTGATTAGCACATCAGGACATCACTGACAGCAGTAAAGAATTTCTTTTTATGGGCTTATTCGTTGGGGCCCCTGCAGGAAACAGAATCCAACTCAGATGGTTTGAGAGTCTTATATGAAGGGACTACTTACAGGGCTGTGAGCAGGCTGAAGTCACTGAGAGATTAGCAACATGGGAAGTGGGTGCTGCCCCAGCAGTAGCTGGAGCTCCTGAGGAGTGACATGAAGCATCTGCCAGAAAAATTCAGCCCAGGGTAAGGAAGAACTATCCCAGCCTCTGTCTCCTCGGGGCACCGCTCTCCTCGCAGTGCCCCCTAGTGGCTGAACCTGTGAGAGCCCTAGGGTGCAGTTCTTGGGGCTCAGTGCATGGGGCAGGGGAAGAGCCATGGCAAATAGAAAAATAAGCCCCTTATATTTATCAGAATAGTTCATGTCTGAGTATTTGGAGGCATTTTTAGTAAATAGATATAATTTGTTCAGTGTTTTCAGCTCCCATTTATTTTACCAAGGTCGAATTATGATCAGCTGTGCTTTAAAAAAAAACCCTGGCCGGCCGCGGTGGCTCACGCCTATAATCCCAGCACTTTGGGAGGCCGCGACGGTTGGATCATGCGGTCAAGAGATCAAGACCATCCTGGTCAACATGGTGAAACCCCGTCTCTACTATAAATACAAAAATTAGCTGGGCATGGTGGCGCGTGCCTGTAGTCCCAGCTACTCGGGAGGCTGAGGCAGGAGAACTGCTTGAACCCAGGAGGCGGAGGTTGCGGTGAGCTGAGATTGTGCCGTTGCACTCCAGCCTGGGTAACAAAGAGCCAAACTCCGTCTCAAAAACAAACAAAAAAACCCTTTGGGCCGGGTGTGGTGGCTCACACCTGTAATCCCAGCATTTTGGGAGGTCGAGGTGGGCGGATCACGAGGTCAGGAGTTCGAGGCCAGCCTGGCTAACATGGTGAGACCCCATCTCTACTAAAAATACAAAAATTAGCCAGGTGTGGTGGTATGTGCCTGTAATCCCAGCTACTCAGTAGGCTGAGGCAGGAGAATCGCTTGAACCCAGTAGGTACAAGTTGCAGTGAGCCGAGATCCTACTGCACCCAGCTTTGGCGACAGTGCGGGAATTGGTCTCAACAAAAAAAAAAAAAAAAAAAGTTCTTTGGTTCTCCATGATATTATTACTGTTGTAATGGCTTTAATGAGCCAAGAGCATGCTGTCTTCTTTATTAACTGCTGTAATTTAAACAAATATCAGACTGGAAAGGTATATTGATGTAAGCAGTGATTCTCAGATTTGGCTAATGTCCTGGTGGTAATTTACACCCACCCACCACTGCCACCACAACCACCAAGTCCCGCCAGGTAGTTCAGACTCAGATAGCCCCACATAGTTTGTGAATCAGTGTCTGATCAGCACATAGCTGGGACACCACCTTCTAATTTCATGATTGTTCTAGGGCCTCAAAAATGGCATGTGGTTTACAACGATGTGCTTATTTTCATTGAGTTTCATTTATTGCTTTTGTACTGTGTTTGAAATTTATGGGTAGGGGCCATGTTTCCTCCTTCCCCTGTGATGCCTGGTGGATACATGTGAGAGGACTTGGCAGCCAGCATGACTCATGGTTCCTCTCCATGCTAAATAAGCCACAAGGCAGCTGCCCAACTTAAGTCACAATGAAATTTTTGATGTGTCACAATATCTGGTGTTTTCTCAGCCCAGAGGCATGATACAAAGGTCGGAGAGTAGATGCCAGCAGCACTTAGCTGGTTAAGGGGAGCAGAGGAGGCCAAGGAAACCATGCCCAAGGACCTCAGCTCTTCCCTGTGCCACAGATTGCATAAGCCACCACCTCCAGTGCTCCCGCCACATCCAAATGCAGTCTTAGGGAGGAACAGTGAGGCCAAAGCCCAAGGAATTAAGAGAGAGGTCATCTCTCCAAAAGTGACTATGCATTACCACAGCAGACTGTCTACATGATCAGATTAGGCTGCTTTTTTATTATGATGAAATATACATAAATGCACAACAACTTTTAAGTATACAGTTCAGCAGATTCAACATTGCCGTGCATCCATCACCACTGTCCACCTCCAAAACTTTTTCACCATCCCAAACGGAAACTCCATACCCATTTAGACTAAAGTTTAAAGTTCCAACTTCAGTTAACTTTATCTTGCTCACCAATATGTGACGGGGTCATGAGGACCAGGTCAGTTATTGACAAGATGACAGAATATTTTTCTCACTTGAGTTGTAGTGTGAGTTGCAGTTTTGCAACCCCACTCCAAAAGCCTCACAACAACCCCATTTAGGCAATCCCATTTGTCAGAAGCATTCACGAAGGACGGGAAGTGAAGCAACTTGACCAAACTCTCACAACTCATTGCTGGCAGTGAGGGGCTGTGAGTGTGTGTCTGCTGTGTTTCCAAGGGCACCTCCTTGTGCCACAACATGAGATGCCAACAGTGTGATTCCAATACCCCTTTCCCTTCCAAGTTTAAGTGTTTGTTCTTTAATCTTAATTCCAAAGTTTTCCTCGAGTCTTTGAAGCAGATACAGGCAACTGGGGGCACAAAAAAGAACCCTGGGATGGGATGGGAGTTGGGGAACCTACCTCCAGTAAGTGGGGAGACTTTGGGTAGGCCACTTACCCTCTGTAAACCTCATGTGCCCCAACAGCAGATGGACAGATGATCATGAAAGCTCTCCACTGCCACTCTGTGATCTCAAGAATAGGTAGAAATGTTTTGCAGTCAATCAACAACCATTCTTGAGCACCAGACATGTGCCTGACACAGCCCTGCCCTTACGGAGCTTACCTATAGATTGCAGGATCTGCCCTCAATTATTCTTTTCTTTTTCATCCTAAAAGTGGAAATTATTTGGCCATCTGGAAGAATTATATTGCATATGTATGTTGAGGGACTGTGAGATGGTGGAATCAATAGATTGCAGATAGCCATGGGGCTGAAGAATTGTTGGAGACAGCGAGAAGGAAGGAACTGGAAAGACAGCAAGTGGCAGCCCAAGACCGGGGTGCTTCACATGTTTAAAACAAGTGAATTGTGGACTAAATATTGAAACCCCTTTATGTTAAAAGAGAGATTGTGATCTTTATTTAGTTGGTATTTCTTTAGTATTTTCTGGTCAGGAACTATGCTATTAGCACATTATAACATAAATAGTGAAACTGCAACTCAAGGTACAGTTCTGTACCCCAAGGATCTGCCAGTTTTTTTAGGTCAGGCAGTACCTGTCTTAGGTTCCGCAGACCACATGGTCTGTGTTACACTGAACTCTGCTGTTGTAGCCCAGAGCTGCCAGAGACAATAAGTACATGAATGGGCATAGCTGTGTTCCAACAAAAGTCTGTTTTTAAAAAGCAGGTGGCAGGCAGGGTTTGAACTGCAGGCTACAGTTTACTG